GGGAGGGGGGAGGGAGGCGCAAGAGTTTGATAGTCGAACAATGTCTCTAGGGGTAACTGAAAGAGAAAGAAAAAGAAAGTTGTAAAAGAAAGCTTTCTTCAGTTTACCTAAATCTACCTCGTCAACAGCGAATAGAAATCTTTTTGAAATCATCGCGAGCTTTTAAATCTTGCTGTTTCGCGAACTTCGCGCGATATACGTAACTCCTGTTACCGAAGCCTCCCGATAAAGCCTCGAAATTTTTCCAAAGCTCCGTCGTACTGGAATCGCTTGCCTTTCGCAAAATTTGAATTTCAATTCCGTCTCGAGAGCTACGTCTCTCCTACGTATCTGATAAGGATCGTCGCCATCGCCCTCGGTTCTCGATATTCCGCAAATACTTGGATACCTTCGACGAGGGAATTTCCTCTCCCTTCGTACTCTTGCACATCTACCCATCTTACTCTCTCGCTCTTTTTACCATCGCAAATATCATTCGTACGCGTTCCATTCGGCCGGATCGATCGTATAAATAGTTTCCTTTCACCCCGTATACTCGGCCACGAAATATCGCAATTTTTCATATTATTCAAGAAAAATATTATTACTCCATCACTCTGTTATCCTATGCGTTGGTACGTCACGCTATTACCCTTCTTTTTTTTTTCCTCGATATACGTATTCCTTTTAGACACCTAATCTAGTTTCCGAGTGATCTATCGCATTCGCGATGTCATATGTAGATCAGCAAAAAAATATACCACTTAGCGATATTACCTGGGGTAGCCATGTCATTTGATTTGTGTAGCAAGCCTTGTGATTAATATTTGATATTATTTTATTTAATCATTGTATATGCACGTACTGTGTTCTTGATATAGGGTCATCGATACCAGACATTATTTGCTCATTGCCATTGCGAATAATACCGATCACGTATTCGCAGCCTGAAGTAAAAGTACCATGGAAAGACAGAGTATCGTGAAGATTCTCCAATGACTTTCTATCTACCAATAAAAAAGACACAGTGCTTAGTGTCAGCTCATGCTAAAACGATACGTACGCGAGTAGTCGGAAGTTACCCTAGTCACGGTTTTACACTGTGCACGAGTCCTCTCTTTGGCGCCATCTGGGAGAAGGTTACTGATTTCACTTTTCACCGGGCTATCTGCATCCTCAGTCAGTATGTATAGACGGAGGCATAAGCAATCCGCTGTACGTTACCGTGTTACTGTACAGCGACGACTCGAGTCATAAATCATTCCCTTATGGCGAGTACGCAACTTGCTCGTCTAACCGGTTGGCAAGATAGGATATTCGCCAGAAATTACGGCACTGTGAATGAGCGTTAAAAAAAATGACAAAAAAAGACATTACGTGTTTCAAGCGTATACTATTTGGTATTTACGTAAAAATAAATGGGAAATTTCATGCAATTTTTAAATTCGCAATATATTCCGTGTTAATAATCGAGTCGCCGTATTTTTCAGCGATACGCTCGAGAAAATAAAGTTTCGACGAAATGTATAAAAATCTCGCATCGTAAGCACAGGTTAGTGCGTGATGTCTTTCATGTGGGAAATCGAAAGGGAAACCAGAAGTATTCGGTCAATATCGGTTATACACGGACAACGAGTAGCGATAACGTACGCGCGAACATTGCGGTGGGTTCAAACTGGATTTTTGTTTTTTGTCCTTTCTTTATTTTCAGTTTTTTCTTTTATTTATTAATGGAAAAAAAATTACATTGGTAATTAACTTCATGACGACGGGTCACGAATGGCCGAATTTCGTACTGTACCTGGTCTGCATATGTGCACGTATCAAATTGCATTCGTGCTACTATAATTGCAAGCACCGAAATTCCCTGGTAAAAAGTTCAGCAGGTGTCAGGTATACCTGGTATATGTATATATGGGTATAGTGGATAGTTCACATATTTCCCAGACGGTCTGGTCGTACTAAGCCGTTCGGATAAGTTATGCTCATTGAACTTTTGCAGGGGGCTGTACGATAGGGCAGTGCAATTGGCATGGCGAATTTATTATGCGAATTAAATCATAACGACCGGAGGAAGGAAGCGTTAGTGGTCTCCTTTTTTCTCTGCTTTTTATATATGTTTTTCTTTTTCTTTTTCTGTTCAATCCGGATATTAAAAAGTCACCCTGATTGAAGACCCTCTCGAATTTCATAGTGGATTCGACTATGGCAAAGACATTGAATTTTTCTTTCATTAATCATTCTCGCCCAGTTTTTACCTCTCAGCTGACAGCCCCTCTGGAACAATAATACCATATCGATACACGTATTTTCTCGGAGTATATAAAACTCTACGTATGTAGCATATGTGCTTTTTACGTGAATTAAACGGACTTCTCTAACTGATCATGCTTGTTTGTACTTTTTTAAACGTTTCTTTCCAATAACACCAAAATATTACCATAAATCATCGCTTCGCACTTATATGTACCCACGCGGTTTATATTTCTGTTAGGGTAAAATCACTTCTCGGCGACGTTTGACATACTCATACCAGTCGTACGCATATGTGCGACAGGGCATGCATCACTGAGTGCGTGGGCGGAATATTTTCTCACGACTCAGTATACCTCAAAGTATAGACTCCGTATTTCACTGTACGTTAGTTCAATCAAAATCAACTACTCTCGCTTCCAATATATTTACCTGTCAAATACCGATACAAAATTCTCATCGAAAAAGGCATCAGCAGAAAACTTTTCTATTTTACTATAGAAACGACGCGTTTCAAAAAAATCGTAACTACAGTCGACTCTTCGTCTCGACGATAGACAAAGATATAAAATTTAATACAATTTTCAATACCCTTTCGTGTCTTAAAAAACGTATATTTTTTAAAGAATTTTTTTACCATGTTTCTCATGAGATCCACGAACTAAATAAAAATTTATAGACACCTTAGTCAAGCGGAGCTGTATGATAGCCAAGATTACCTTCGCCTCGTATTTTGTGGGATAATAAAATGTAAAGTAGCCTGCAACATATAATGGTTGACTTTGGAAGTCTACGCGAATGTCGAATGGTAGTTTGAAAAGCTCACGTAAAACTTGAGGAATTTTTAGTCCGCGCAAATAGAACTCCCCGTGTTGCTTATGTGTGTTTGTACGTAAAATATTTTATATACACCACTGCAGGGTGCGTCATGTCAAAGGATGGCCCCTAATTGGACGTTTACGTTTATTCACGTTCGCAAATTGTTCCGTCGGTCAATGTTTTACGAGAGTCAACAGGGGAGCTCCCACAGTGCTTTACAGTGAAACCGTGACGTTTATAGTCATTCGCGCGGTTATCTTTTCACTGGGTGTAACGGCTATGCTCGAGCATCAATTAATTATTAGCAAAAGATATTGCGAAACTTACAGAGCCGGTTTACGAGTAAAGTTTACTTTTTCTTTTGACAGATCGAAAACAATGAAATCCGTGTAGCAAGTCGCACGTGGCTTCACGTACAATTTTTCTTAGGAAATTCTTTCTGCTTATTTATTGCAGAAAGGGATTTTTTGTTTGGATAAAAAGTCCAATTTTTGAAAGCGCTGCCAATTATCCTTTTTCATCCCTTCTGATATCGTATATCCACAGATTATAAATTTTTTTTTTTTTATATTAAA